CAATCCTCCCCATCAAAATAATTTAGTAGTTATAGAATCAGGATTCAAACTCATTTTTTCTGACTCCAAATTCTGTATACATCAACCCCTGGCTTTCAACAACCATTTTTTCTGGGATAAGACAGAAGATAATCTCTGGGAATTTGATAAATCAGGAGATGGAGGGCTAATTAAAATCCTTGGATGTGCCATGATTTAGGGCTTAAAATCAGTGTCTCTGCTGTGATTTTATATTTCCTTGGCTAGGTGATTTTATCTTTAAATGATACCCCAGAGGGCTTTCACATGATGAGATCTGAAAGCACGTGAACTAATGGGGTTGAATTAGTAGTAGAATCTGAAGTTGGTGGCTATGGGGGCTAAGAAACTTGATGAGCCAGTGGCCAGGACTGAGGACAAAGTGTTCTTCAGGAGAAGATATAAGTTACAGGTGAGATAATTTTCAATCAATAATACACGCATGTACTTTTGGAATGGACAGTTTAAAGAGAATGCTTGGCCACGTTACTGAATAATTCTACCTCATTCCATGATCCATTATCTTGGCCCAGACCTAGTGGCCCATCTACCATTTTTATCCTTACCTCAGCCTTCCAGTTTCATTTGTAATATAGGCTTTCAAGAGGAGAGAAAAAATAATTTGGCTTTTGGATATTCTTGGAAAGACTGGAAAAAGGCAAGCCATTTCCTAATAAGACAAGTAGACTTCTAATTGAAGGTAACATGTAAAGGGGAACTCAGTGGTGGAGATCTCATTTACTTTCATGGAGTAAAAGATAACACAATGAGCTAATGGTGAAAACAAAGATCCATACAGAGATGTACGGGAAAATACAGCAGCACTAACCAAGTCTGGAGAAATTTCTTATACAGAGAATGGACGGAGCCAGAAGCAACAGTTAATAAATATATGGTGAAGAATGAGAACCCAGTAATGTTCAGGAATATTTAGGGAGTGTATTCTGAAAGTATTGATGATGGCATGTGTAACATATAAGAAAATAACCACAATTACCATTGTATAGTCCTTGGAATTTCTTAAATTTATTTGAGCTTTGAGGAAGGAAACAATAATGTTATGATCACATTACAATGTACAGTGTTGAATACGACTAGTGAAAGGGATCATCCTTGCCTTATTCCTGATCTTAGGTGGAAAGTATCTATTTTCTTATCAATAACTATGATGCTTTGTTGTTAGGTGCTGTCGAGTCAGTTCTGCCTCACAGGGACCCTATGTACAACAGAACGAAACACTGCCTGGTTCTGTACCATCCATACAATCGTTGTTATGCTTGCATCCATTGTTGCAGCCACTGTGTCAGTCCATCTCACTGAGGGTCTTCCTCTTTCTCCCTGACACTCTACTTTACCAAGCATGATGTCCTTCTCCAGGGACTGATCCCTCCTGATAACATGTCCAAAGTAAGTGAGATGCAGTCTCACCATGCTTGCTTCTAAGGAGCACTCTGTTGGTTTTTTCTAGATGTTCTTTATCAAGTTGAAGAAGTTGCCCTCTATTCCTAGTTTGCTGATAGTTTTTATCATGAATAGGTGTTGGATTCTGTCAAATTGTATTTCTGCATATTTTAGTATGATGATGTGCTTTTTCTTCTTTAGTTTGTTGATTTGTTTATATTACTGATTTTTGAATACTGAACCAGTCTTGCATACTGTCTTAGGCTGGGTTCTCTAGAGAAGCAAAACCAGTAAAGTGTATATGTATCTATATATATAGAGAGAGATTTACATCCAGGAAACAGCTCATGCAGTTGTAGAGGCTAGAACGTCCCAAGTCTATAGATCAGGATAGAGGTTTCTGCTGATTCACGTAGCCGCAGGGGCTGGCGAACCTGAGATCAGCAGGTCGGAGAACGGGGCTCTTGCTCACAGGCTGTGAAGTTTTACGAATCTCAAGATCAGCAGGCAAGACCGCAAGCCTTCTCCTGATTCACATAACTGCAGGGGCTGGTGAACCCAAAATCAGCAGGCCGGAGAGCAGGAATCTTGCTCACAGGCTGTGAAGATTGACGAATCCCAAGATTGGCAGGTAAGCCGCTAGCTCAGGTCCCAAGAGTGGGAGGTCAGACAACAAAGAATCAGCTGCAGGATCCAGAACAAGCCAAAAACCCTGGCAAGGTGAGCAGGAAGGAAATAGGTGGCGGAGGGTGGAGAGATGAAGGCTGAGGAGGTGTTAAGTCGCCACAGGCCCACTCCCTCTGGTACTACTCAGCAGGTTCCATCATGGGCGTGATCACATATCACATTTCAACAGGGAAGTGATCACAACATTATACAACTGCCAAAACACTGAGAATCATGGCCCAGCCAAGGTGACACACAATCTTAACCAACACATATACCTGACATAAATCTCATTTGCTTGTGGTATCTAGTTCTTTTTATACATTATTAGATTCAATATGGTAATATTTTGTTGAGAATTTTTGCATCTATGTTCATAGGAGATTA